CTTCCGAAAGTCACTACTTCGTTTCACATGCAACAGGAGATTGTTTTACCGGCATTCTTTCCAACCCCATCAAATCCGATAGAGCGATCTCTACATATGCTGGACGTTCGTCGTTGCTTAGCCTTTTATAGGTCCAGGACTGAGTCTGTTCAGCGTTCCAGTAGACTTTTTGTGAAATATTTGGAACATGACCGAGGCTGTCCAGTCACTTCACGTCTTTCGAAATGGATAGTAAATACAATTGTCCTGTCTTATCAGTTAGCTAAGTTGGACTTGCCATCTACTTCAAGAGGTCATTCTACAAGAGCTGTTGCTGCTTCTTCGGCCTTTGCATCAGGGGTCCCGATAGAAGATGTGTGCAGGGCGGCCATTTGGGCTACCCCGTGTACCTTCGCCAGACATTATAGACTCGATGTCTGTGCCAGGCAGGATTGCTCTTTTGGCAGAGCTGTCCTTTCTTCTGTCCTTCGCTGATGACACCTCCCTCCTCCACTTGGGGTAAGCTTGTTATTCTACCCATATGTGTGATGCACAGAGGCCACGACGAAGAAGAGCAGGTTGCTTACCTGTAACTGATGTTCTTCGAGTGGCCATCTGTGCAGTCACACAACCCACCCTCCGACCCCGCTTGGTGTCATGGGTGGTCTGACTATTTTCTTTCGATACTATGAGCTCTGCTATGTGTCGTACCACTACTGAATTGGGCTATATTGTCATACTGACAAACCTAATTATAAAAACAAACATCGGTCTTTCAAAGACTGGAAAATGGCGGACACTCCGCTCCTTATATAATGCTAGGGGGGAGGGGGAGTGGAGTTCCTGCCAAAAACAGCTGTTAATCTTCTGGCCAAAGGCACTGCGCAGGCACAGAACCCATATGGTGACTGCACAGATGGCCACTCGAAGAACATCAGTTACAGGTAAGCAACCTGCTCTTCCAAATACCAGACTGCGAATACAGCCACTCCAGCTGTGGTTCAACGACGTGTTCCAGCCCCTCCGCGATTCCCTGAGACAACTTCTCCTCCCCCCGCCCCCCGCCTCGGTTCACCAGACCTTGACTTGGTGGACGAACACCTACAACCTTGCCGTCAGCATTGCGTTTCACCAGCGGCAGCCCTCCATTTTGCTCAATACCAACGCGTCCTTCACAGGTTGGGGAGCACATTGTTCCAATCTGCGGACACAGGGCACCTGGCAAGCTCACAAGAGGTCCAACCACATCAACTTTCTCGAGCTGCTAGCAGTGTTCAAGGCACTATGTTCCTTCGAGCCCATTCTACGGAATCAGTCGATACCGGTAGCCTCCAACAACGTAGTTACCGTCTTCTACCTGAACAAACAAGGTGGCACGAAGTCGGTACCACTGGCCCACCTGTCCCTACAGATTTGGGACTGGTGTATCCCCAGAGGAATCTCTCTCCTTGCAATCCATCTGGCAGGAGTAGACAACCAAGAAGCGGACACCTTCAGCAGGAAGATGTCGTCAACCCACGGATGGGAATTGGACGACCAGGTTTGCAAAGACTTGTTTGCCCGCTGGGGTACCCCGACATTGGACTTGTTTGTGACAGCTTCCAATTCTACTCTAGGGCGCGACCTATTGCTCCAGGGCGGGATCGGGTCCGAACTCACGGGGAGACGCCTTGATGGTGTGTTGGTCGGATTCCTTCCTATACACCTTTCCTCCGATCCCTCTAATCACCCACACCCTGGAAGAGGCTGCTTGGGACCGAACACGGGTCATCTTCATCACACCATGGTGGCCTTGGCAACCGTGGTTCTCGACTGTCCTCAACCTGTCCCAACACACGTTCTTTCGTCTGCCACAGGTTCCTCATCTGATCACACAGGAGAGAGGGACAGTTCTTCATCCCAACCTCGAAACCCTCAATCTCACCGTGTGGTTCATGCACTAACTGCTCCTGACCACTCACACCGGGTTTGACAAAGTATATCAGCTTCGATACCTGTCTCTCATCCTTTGACATCGGAATCTCGGTCGGTACCGAACGACTCCACTCAGGTCTCCTCTGGAACTACACCATTTCAACATGAAATCGAATTCATACTGCAGTCTGCTCTCCAACCATCCACCTGTTGGTTGTATGAGGCAAAGTGGAAGCGTTTCACCACCTTTGCGGAAGTCAATCATTTCGCTCCTGAATTGGCTTCCATCGATAACATTCTCTCTTTCTGGCTCTCCTTGCACCAGTCTGGACTTAAGCCTACCTCCATCAAAGTATACATAGCGGCTATATCCCACTTTTGTGGGCCCCTGTCCAGTTCCTCTGTGTTTTCTCATACACTCATCCATCACTTCTTCAAAGGACTACAAAATCTCCATCCTCCAACCTGACCATCGGTACCGACCTGGAGTCTGTCAGTGGTTCTCCATGCACTGACCAAAGCCTCTTTCGAACCCTTAGCAACGACCATTTTAAGGCTACTGTCTTGGAAGGTGGCCTTCTTAGTTGCCATAACATCGGCGAGAAGGGCAAGCGAGCTCTCTGCCCTCTGTGTGGACCCACCATACCTTAACTTCCACAAGGAAAAGGTAGTCCTGTGTACCAATCCAGCATTCCTCCCTAAGGTTGCTACAGCATTTCATATTAACCAAGACATTGTTCTTCCAGCATTCTTCCCTACCCTGTCCACCCCGATAGAGAAATCCCTCCATTCCCTTGATGTGCGGTGATGCCTCGCCTACTATTGATCGCACACAGAGAGTTTCTGAAAGACCAATTGCTTCTTCGTGAGGTACTCCGATCCTGATAAGGGTGCTGCTATCTCTGCCCAGAGACTCTCGAAATGGATAGTTCAGACTATTGAGCTTGCTTACCAGCTAGCCAAGCTGGATCTTCCTGTCACCTCCAAGGATCACACTACTAGGGCTATGGCTGCTTCCTCGGCTTTTTCATCGGGCGTACCACTACTGGACATTTGTAAGGCTGCCACGTGGACAACTCCCTGTACCTTCACCAGGCACTACAGACTTGACATTTGAGCCAGACAGGACTGTTACTTCGGACGGGCTGTCCTCTCATCCATCCTTCACTGACAACACCGCCCCACGTCCGGTTAGTTAAGCTTGCTAATCACCCATTATGTGTGATGCACAGAGACCACGAAGAAGAAAGCCAGGTTGCTTACCGGTAACTGTCGTTTTTCGAGTGGTCATCTGTGCAGTCACACAACCCGCCCAGCGGCCCCACTCGGTGTCGGAGGACGGGACAGTAGTCTTCTGCTATCGACTACTCTAGCCTATGGCATGCTTCGCTAGGGGGCAATCTGTTGGTCTCCAGAGTCTGAGGAAAATGGTGGGCACTCCGCCCTATGTAGTACCAGGGGGGAGGGGTGTGGAGTTCCCGCCAAAATCCGTCGAAGCTTTGATATTCTGGTCAGCAACAGGCACTGCGCAGGTGCAATTACCCATTATGTGTGACTGCACAGATGACCACTCGAAGAACAACAGTTACAGGTAAACAACCTGGCTTTTTTCATCACATGGAGTGCCTCCATGACTGTGCTTTCTGTGATTGAAGGGAGATGACACGAGCATGGAGACACCTCATGTGAAGTTAAATTTAATATTTAATAGTTCTGTAAAGATTTGTTTTTCTTTTTTGGAGAAGGAGAGAAAGATAAAACAATACAAGAATTCCTTGATCAAAAAAAGCATTTATTTTCATACCTGCAATCAAGTATCAGAGATCTGCAAAAAAGAGGAATTATTCAACAGGGCTCCATGCATGGTAAGCGAAATGTTATCTCTAATAACTTTCTTTTTGTTTAGAGTTTTTATAAGAGTGGTTATGTCCTTGCAAAAGACCCTTGCATAGACTTGCTAGCAGATGTACTGAATATGCAGATCCAATACTTCAGCAGACACATATATTGATATTGATTTATCATACTTATTCCTTCTTCAGACAGTTCAGAACAGTGTTCAGCTTCACACCAAGCTTCTAAAATAATGTAGGCTGACAGATCATGACTTGTCCAAGGCCACCAATAAATTTACAGCTGGCTGTTGCACATTTGGAGTTTTCCTACGTAGGTGTATACTGCTGCAAAATATGCACATAATGTCACATTCCCATCTATGAAGACTGTGCAAAGATTTATTTTGCTAGATATATTTTCACTGAAGAGTTGTGATTAGCAGTGGGTTTAACAAATACACATTTGACAAAACAGACATTTGCATGATCTTTACACATAACTATATATTGGGGGTGGGGGGTATGCAAGTGAACACTCTGGCATGATATACATTTTTTAATTTGCCATGAATTAGATATTTAGAATTAGGTTTTTGGTTTCACTACATCCAAACCAAGCCTCATGCCTCAAACTACAATACAGTGGCCAGCACTGCAACCCTGAGGTGCTCTGGTAGCCAAGGCAGCAATTGGCTGATCTGGATCTTCCTAAAGCAAGAGGTCTTTCCCAAACCCCTCAGCTAATTAGGTGTTTGTTTTGTGGTGCAGGTTCTATAGGGAAGAAAATGTGTACTGAACCTCCAAAAGTAAAGTTACATTTTTGGTAGTAGGAAATCACCTTCCTCCTGTTCTAGAAACCTGTTCCTGAATGGTTAAATTTGGTAGTATACAGGATACACAAAAAGCAAAGGACAACATGTTCTTCCATTTAAAAAAATCCAAAATCTCTAGTCAGTAAATTGTAATTGAACATTTTTAGTCATATTAATGTTATTGAAAAGAATTATGGAGTTTTGAAGCCTCTGGGGAAGGCGATTTTGCTTTTAAAACAAGGCTTCTCTTGTACCTTGTTTTAAACTGTAAAACTGAAAAGAAAAATTGCTCATTTTTGCTGGTGGTAGCAAGAAGGGAGTGCAGCCTTGGTGGGTTTCAAGGTGTGTGTGAATGACCTCCAGGTTCCTGATGTAGTGTAATCATGAGTATTCTGGTGCAGGAATAATTTACATGTTTCCAAGTAAATCAGTATTGAGTTCTTCAAAACCCTTTTCTTAGAGGCAATTCAAGAGGTATCAGATGATCATCATCCATTAGGCTTGCTGAAATCAGAGGCTGCTGCTTTAAGTGCAAAATATGGATCTGATGGTAAGTCTGAAAGTAATCATAAAATAGAATATGATTGACTCATTTTACAATTTTGCTTCTCATTTACAAGGACTCATATCTGTTCAAAGTTCTAGTACAGAACTTGACCTGACTCTGCACTCCTCCTCCTCCTCCTCCTCCCTCCCATCATCTTAAATGAGGAGCAGTCTATACAGATGAAACTTCTTGTAACATACTGCAGTAGAGAGCTCATAGGACATAAAGTGCATAAAATATTAGTATATGAAATTCACCACCACAAGATATATATGTCTTAGTAAGCTTTAAAAGGAGATTATTGGCATTAATATAATGTGAGTTTATAAGGAGATTACTCACATTTATATAAACAGTTATTATCCATAATAGCTGAATGGAACCTTCATATCCAGAGGCAGTATATCCTTAATGCTCTTAGCTAATAAAAGCTAGTGGAGAGAAAACAGCTGACTGGGAAGTGACCCGTGATCTTTATGGAAGGGAGTGGTCCCATGCCATGTGAAATAGGCAGTGACAAAGCCACTCCCGAAGAAGTCTTTTCTGAAGATCTCAATAATTTTAGGCCAATGGTAAATATCCTCTTTCTTGGCAAGAAGTTCTTGAAAGAGTGATAGCCAAACTCCTTGGATGTCACTCATTATCTAGATCCATTTCAGTCAGGTTTCAGGCTATCTTTTGGCACTGAAAGACTTTTGTTATCCGGTATTACCTATGCTGGAAGAGAGGAGTGTGAATCTATTGATATTCCTGGAACTCCTGGTGGCTTTTGATACCATTGACCATGATATTCTTCAGGGGCAACTGTTTGAGGTGGAAGTGAGGGCTACTGCTTTGCAGTGATTCTACTCCTGATTAGATAGTCGGGCCCAGGAGGTGGTACTTAGGAAATATTACATGACTCTGTGGATTCTCCAGTATGGGATTTCTAAGAGGTCAGTCACATTCCTGTGCTATTTAGAATCTGCATGAAATCAATTAGAGGGCCATCCATACTTTTGGAGTGTGTTGCCATCTGTATGCTGATGACATGTAGGTCTGTTTCTTTTTCTTCATCAACAGGTAAGGCTATGGATGTGACAATGGGCTGGATGAGGGATAGCAAACTGGAAGCTCAGTCCTGAGAAGACAGAAGCTGTTAATGGGTGGTTCCTCTAATTGGGTGGAGGGTGTTCTCAGGGGGAGTGCAACCTGTTCTGGATGGGTTGCACTCCCCTTGATGGAGCAGGTTTGTGACTTGGGGGTGCTCCTTGAGCTATCCTTGTCACTTGAGGCTCAAGTAGTCTCAGTGGCTGTCTCAGAGTCCCTTCTACCAGTTTTGGCTGGTAGCCCAGCATACCCCTATCTGTAGTGGGATAGCTTGATTTCTGGTACTCTCTAAACTAGAGTACTGCCATGTAATGTACATGAGGTTGGCCTGCAGCTTGTGCAAAATGTAGCAACCATACTAATAACAAGGACTAGAAGTTCTGAACATCTGACATTAATTCTGTCCTTTTTATAAAGACTACCTATATGTTTCCAAACACAGTTGAAGGTGTTAGTTCTAACTTACAGAGCCCTAGACAGCTTGATGGAATATTTCTCCCAGCTATGATCTACCTAGACACTATGATCAAGATTTGGGGCCTGCCTTTGACTGCCACCTCTAAGAAAGACTTAGTTGGTGGCAATAAGGAAGAGGGCCTTCTCAGTTGTGCCCCGCCCCTGTCCCAGTTATGGAATAGGCTCTCCTCTGAGGGCCATGTGGCACAAACTCTGCTTTCAGTTTGGTGTGAGGTAAAGAAAGTTTTCTATGACAGAGCATTTAATCACCTTTAAATAGCATTCTGTCAGCTGTTCAGCAGGTCTTGAGGGTTGTGTTAACTATTGTAACATTTAAAATTTGGTTTTTAATTTGGCTTTTAAAGTTTCTGGTGTATTTTTATGTTACTTGTATTTTGTATCTATTGTGTTTTGTCTGCTGCTATTGGTTCTATAGCAGCCAATATTGCTAGAGAACTTTGGTTATTGGGCAATATAGAAATTAAATAAGCCAACTAATAATAGTAGTACAAATGATAATACTAAGTGAGATTGGTCTTTATCTGCTGGAATGCTGAGGATATTTCTTGTACAATTTGTTTTTGCTTCATATAATCTGGTTAACTTTAGAAAGGTTTGGCTGTGGCCAAACATAATCAGAAATAAAATTAGTAACTGCAATTTTAAATAGTTTCTCCACTTTTATCTGCTTTGTCGTTATAGATGAGAAAATAGCAAAGCAAAGGGTTTTGGCAGCAAAACTAGAAGCAAATATAAAAGATCTACAAACTGCTTTTGAAATACAGAAAATTGAAAAGCCCAAATACATGGGTAAGAAATTTCAGAGTAGAAGAAATGTACATATCAGAGATATAAATATTTTTATTCAGATAATTGGAAATCCCATAGATACTTATTAACATAGATTTGCCAGGTGGGTGTGTTCTTGGATTAAGCCTTGAACCTGGATGCTCAGAAGTACATTTGCAAGTCCATAGAGATACTTGATTTGACCACACTAATGCATGTTTACTTCAGATTGCTGATTAGGTTACTGTAACAGAGAACTATATTTGAAAAGTGTGTGAAACCAAGCCCTTGGGATTGGGACTTGGGACCAGGCTTCTTGAAAGACTGCCTATTCCTATATGAGCTTGCCAGGGTTTTAAGATCATTGGAGGAGACCCTCCTCTAAATCTCATGGCCATTGGAGGCACTTTTGGTAGGAACAGAAGAGAGGACCATCTGTGAGACTTCTCCCAAGACCTAGAACTCCCTTCCAATAAAAGTAAGCTAGACTGCTTCTTTATTGTCCTTCCACTAGAAGGCAAAGACAATTCTATTCAGACAGGCTTTAGCATGATTGGCTGCTGAAAGAGATCTTAACTGGATATCTGTTGACTGGTTTAAAATTGTTTTCCTGATTGATTTGTTTTTGTTATTTTTAATTTAAGGTTTTGATTTAAACTTATATTTTAAATAAATATAAAGCTGAAATACTTTTTTTGCAACTGTTCAGTCAAACAGACTTCCAGGGCAGCTTACAAAGTTAAGAAATAACAGACTTTCAATCCAAAAGGCACAACAAAAATGGGAAATGGAGGGCAATGAAAAAACAAATCCAGGAACTAGTTTAGTTGCTTGGTTGTGAGGTTTGGCAGGTCATGAATTGGCTGCTGCTTTTTGTTCTTCTGAAGTCACCTTCAGTGGTAGTTGGTAGCATAAAGGACAAGTGAATCCAGGCATGATGAAGGATGTCAGACTGCTGCTTTCTCTCCCTTTGGTGATCTTTTGTTATTTTTAGATGCCTTGAGCCCATGTACCCCTTGTATACCTGAACACAGAAATCATGCCTTTCTCTTTCCACTTAATGAAGAGTAGCCTGTCCCTCCTAAGGAATTAACAGAAAGGTTGAATGTGCAGATGGCATTATTCCCCATAAGTCAGAGACCCTCTGAAGAGTCTTTTTCTGAAAATTAAGCAGAATTTTTCCCTATTTATCTGGCAACCCACAACACAGCAATTTTCAAAACCTCAATTAAAAAGACTAGGAGGCAGAATATTTCCCTCAGTTCAAAAACCTGACTCCAGATTTTCGTCCTTCCCTGCAGCAACTCCCCTTTACAGCTATTATCTGTTGTTTTATTCATCAGCCTCCTCAGCAATATAAACAAAGGGAGATGGTCTTTTTGTATTCTTTCTGATATATATAGCAAGGGTGAGTGAATGAGAGAAGCCAGTTGCAAGTGGGGCCACAGAAAAGCTACAAGGGCAGAGAGGAAGCTGTTTGTTGACTGGGAGGTATTTAGAAGTGTGGCTCCAAAGGTTCTTTGGCAACAGCAGGACCAACTGCTGCTATTTTGCTACTGAGTTCTAGGAAGAGGATAGTTTTGCAGGAGGAAAGCAAAATAGACTGTGTGCAGCAAGCAACATTGCACATGGATCAGGAGAGACTAAAAATTAATCCTGAGCAACACCAGAGAAAGATTGATAATAGTGTGGTTAGCTCCTCCCTTGCCACTGAGCTATTTAGACTTACAGTATTACCAAGTGAATGGAACAAGAAGAACCCTTGTACATGCCGTTCAGAACTAGAGAACAAACTGTGTCCCCAGTCTACTCCATATTTTTTTGGCAGCTTAATTTAGTAATGAATGCTCTTTGCTAAGATCAAATTAGCAAAGATCAAATTTGCTAAGATCAAATTGCCCTTTGTTAACAAGTCAGTTTGTTGAAAGCTGCATAACATGTTTTCTTCATTTTGAAACTTCAGACTTGCCTCTGATTATCTCAAAATGAATAAAAAACAAGTAGCTGCCACAGCTTATCCTCTTTCTTAATTGTTTCCAGGCAAAGCACTGTTCATTTCCATTCTTTCATAGCTTGCTTTTCGAACATTAGCATTTCCACCTCTCCCAGTTCCAGAAAAGAATAAGCACAAATATTTATATTATATGTAATAGGAATTCATTACTTTAAACCCATACTACTCAGTGGAATAAAAGCGGGATAAAAGACTCTAATTGTTCTAATGCCAGTGGCACTCGATACTTGAACTGCAGTGGCCTCTAGCATTGGATCCACATGTGGGTCAAACTAAGTCTAAAAACTAAGACTGTCATATGCATGTCCATTACCTAATGACTGCAACAGATCAGTTACAAATGGAACTGACATGACCCCTAACATCTAATCAAATGCAGTATTTCCAAACATGTCTATCTGAATATTCCAATCTCACTATTGTACTCTCCTGCAATTCCACTTCATGGCTTTCACCTCTTTAATTCTAAATCACCTCTGCATTCAGTCTCTTGATATGCTGCTTTTCATAGCCCTAGCATACAGCCATACTACATGATACTGTTCTGAGCTCCAAGGAGCTTCCGAAGGCCCCATTTGTTATGTGGTTTCTTTGATGTCTGAGGTGCAGCTGTTAATTGCTGCTCTGACTTCCTTCTGAATTCTAGTACTGAACTGGGCCACTTTGGTATTTTCCTGTGACCTCCAGAAGGTATTCAGAATCTCAAGGACAGTATATATCTCTGGAAATAACCACAGAGTAGATATTTGGATCTTGTCCTGCAGAGGGTCTACTTTGCCCTACCGGCATGGAGGAAGTAAAACAGCATTTTTAGTTTGCTCCTCTAAGCTTACTTCCTTTTAAACAAGTTTTTCCCCTCCCAACTTCTCCCTTACTTCCCACTGCATATCAAAGATAGGGACATGCAGTGGGACCTCTGAAGGTACAAGTTTTCCTTTGAAGGGGCTGCATCCATGTTCAATGACTGCTATAACTGTTGTCATTATATGTTTTTTGGCGCCAGGTTAAGACCTTTTTATTTAATCAATATTTTAATAAGTTTTAATATTGAATTTTATTACCATATTTTAATTACAGCCAGAGTGGGTCATCAATTTATTTATTGTTATGTATTTTGGAATTTTATTTGGTTACCTGAAGGAGCACGTACATCCATATTTGCCCAGCCGCCCCCTGAGATCGGTGGGAGAGGCCCTTCTCTGGGAACCCTCCGTGAAAGAAATTAGGAGGGTGGGTACTCGGAGGAGGGCTTTTTCAGTGGTGACGCCTAAGTTATGGAATGCGCTCCCCAGAGAGGTCCACCTGGCGCTGTCATTATTTGTTTTTCGGCGCCAGGTGAAGACCTTTTTATTTAAGCAGCATTTTAAATGTGAATATTATTGAATTTTATCTGGCCAGGGTGGCTTATTTTATATTGTATGTATTTTATTTTAATGTTTATATTTTTAATTATAATTATTTAACTAATTGTTGTAAGCCGCCCCGAAGCTTCAGCGAATGGGGCGGCATAAAAATGTTTTAATAAATAAATAAATAAAATAAATAAATTTATGTAAGCCGTCCTGGGGCTCTCGCAAAGGACAAATATCTTAAATAAATAAATAAATAAATGTAACAATGTTTTATTTGAAGATGCACATTAGACAGTTTTGTTCATTTTTAATTCTCTCCCTAACATGTATGAATAATCAATCTAAGCAAGGAGAGACAGTGCACAAGGAAGAATGAGAGTTAGTATAACTGAATCATCAGATCAACAATTGAAACCATTATTATCAGAACTGCAAATACAAATAACAAAACCACCTGGTAAGTACAGAATATTATGTATAATGTATTATGCACACTCCCAAGAGTATTCTTTATTCTTTCGGTCCTTTCCAACATAGATAGTATATTACAGAAGAATGGGGGGAAATGCAGTTGTGACAAGAGGATAAGGAGAATATGACTGTCCAGAAACTGTCTGAATGTCTCCAGCAAGGAAGAGCCCACAACTTCCTCACGTAATAGGTTCCATTGTCGTAATTTTCTGTCAGTGAGGAAATTCTTCCTTGTGTCTAGTCTAAATGTAGCTTCTTTTAAGTCTGTTATCCTGTGTCCTGCACTCTGGAATGAATAAGAGATCTTGTCCGTCCTCTTTGTAAAAGCCTTTTAGGCACTTGAAGAGTTGCTATCATATCTCCCTTCAGTCTTCTCTTGCTGAGGCTAGACATGCCCAGTTCTCTCAGTCTGTCCTCATTTGCATTACTAGGGTGTGTTTTAAAGCTTGGTTATTTTGCTATGTATGAATTTTATTGTGAGTTTCTATGCAGACCTAGTCTGGCCTAAAGGGAGGGATAGCAATATGAAGTCTAAAACAGAATGTCTCTTTTCCATATAAATGACTATTAGATATTCAGATAATTAGCATAACCATATCCAAGGTAATTTAAGTGTCATTTATAAAAGTCTAAGCAATAGAACAAAAGATTACAAGCAGCAACAAAAACTCTATTTTCAATTTTTTGCTCAGTCAAATACTTAACAATAACAGCATCAGCACTGAGAAACAAGTGGCAGCAACCTTTTCTTTCCTTTGGCATCAGCGCAAGATTTTCCTTTGTTGTCAGGCTTATGATAGGTTTGTTTTAAATGAATTGCTTTGGTTATGGTTGTTCTGATGTTTCAGATATCATGTTTTACTATTTTATTGAAATAGTCATAAATTGTTTCGCATTTTTCATGTTTTTAATATTTTTGTTACATGTTGCCTTGAATTTTTAAGAGAGAGGTGTCTCATAAATTAAGATGATGATAATGTCTAGTGATTAAGCTGCTCAGCTTGACTCCAACACAAATATGTTTCTGTTAATGCAGCTCTGGCATATCTGAAATATGCACATTCCTTGTGTTTGCTATATCCACACCCATAGAATCTGTGCTTGTTCATAATCAGCTTCGGAAACATTTAAGAGTTTTAGCCAGGGAATTGATGCTTACCCCTCCCATCTGTATGGTAGCAGTA